GACCTGGATTTAAATTCTTATTCCTTCTCATATTTTATCACATAGTTCTGCTTTCCATAATCTCTGACAAATAATGAAAATTCTCCTCAAAAGCGTGTGGGTCCTGCTATTATTTTATAAACCAGTCTCTCTTCTCTAATAGTGTGTACTTTCTTAGTCTCATCAGGAAAGCTGTACAGCCCTAAATTTGTGAGCACTGATGCTAGTGCAAACCTGCTGGATGTAATTCCTTCAATTCCTGCAGCTGGGTGTAATTCCTTCAGCTTCTTTGTACCACCAGCACTCAAACTTACTCCTAGAAGTAAAATTGTCCCAGATCTTCTTGTCTGCTGTGATGAGCTGTGTAGTCTGGTGCCCAGTCTGACACAATGTAGAAAGAAGTGGTGTTGGCTCAGACAAGTGCTCCTCTAACCACAGCAATAGCTGATGCTGTGTTGCACTTGAGCCTGGCCCCTTTTAGTGGCCCGTAATGAGGCAGCCCTGCATTAGGGATGATCGATGGTGTATCCTGCTTATTTCCTTTAGTATCCATCAGTTTATCAGTTGTCCATGAATTTTTGTACTCCCTTGTTTTATATCATGGCAAATGATACAATGCTGTCTTGCTCTCTTGAGGGTGTCCAGCATTTTGTTGGCTATTTAGGCTGCCTCCAAATATTGAGATGATTATTTGAGGTCCTCAAGTGATACCAATGATGGCCTCGTGGTCTTTCTCCTGATTTTCAACTGCCAGTTCCATGCTCAGCATCGTGGCAGCACCAGTGGGCAAGTTTGCAGAGGCCCTATGCCTTTTCTGATGGGAAAGCCCTGCGAAGGGTTGGCCAGGCAGCATGCCTGAAAATACAAAACGTGCACTGGTGCCATAGTGCGTAATGCATCACTCTCTTGAGAGAAATCCCAATATTTTGCTTCACCCTAAACAAGAGGCCAGCGGGCAAGGCTGCCAGGCAAAGCAAACCCATGTGTGTCCTGCTCCTGGCAAGGGCTCGGCAACTGCAAGGGATGCAAGCTCCCTGTCACTAAATCTGAATTTAAGAAAGATGTGTACAAAGAAGCTGGGAAACTCTGACACTGCAAATGCAACACTGGTCTTGGGTTTCCTGATTTCGCCCGTTCTGCTTAGCAGGTTTTTAAAAATCTCTGCCAAGGCTCCCCCATTCTTCTACACTGACTCTGTACAGCATCAGGGCTGCTCTATTATTTCTAGTAATCATTGCTTTTTGTAATCAGTCACTTTTGTAAGCGTGACTACATATCTCTGTCTGTACTCACTGACACATAATATATTCCACCAAGCAGACAATTTCCTGGAAGTTGAAAGAGGGGGAGGAGTTGGCAAAGTGAACTCTGCTCTTGAAGAAATCCATTATATAATGGAATAAATGGCTTTATGCCTGAAAGTTACAATTTTCATCATCATTTACACTGAACAGCAGCCTCAAAGAAAGGCAGGTATAAAAAATGAGATGCAGTGATGACCTTTATCAGCTGTGGTGACAGCTATAAATCAGGTTGCAAATTCTCATCAGCTCGCTGGACAGAATTCATTACAGACAGCGGTCGCTGCGTTGCTTTTTGTCTTTGACTGAGGTATGTCCCATTTAAATAAATGCTCTTCTACTGGAACAAATCACACATTTCAAAACAGAAGTCCAAGAATATTGTTCATTGATTCGTTTGAGGACTAAGATAATACAACTTACAGACAAGCTAAACCTCACGGTGGTTTGCTTGGAATATAATGCAGATCAATTTGTTCTTCTCTTAAGCAGACCAATTTTCTGTTCATTAATTCAGATGCTGCGTTGATGGCTTGTATTGAATATAATAGGAAAATTTACAGCCCTAACAAATCAGCGCTGCTTCTTTTATTCTTCCTTATTCATATGCAGCAGATTAGCACCTGATTTTAAACTCGTTACACTTTAACAAATAATGGGAATCTCTTTCATCTCCTGCTTCCAACTAAGGAGCAACTTTTCTGTAATCATCTTGAAATTTCACCGTTTCTTAAAGTGTTATGGTTTTTTGGAGCATAGGGAGCAATAAAAGTTTAGTAGCAATGTCATTATAGGCAGTAATGTAACTTCCATCAGTTCAGGCAATGCTCAGGAAACAGCCACGAAGTATTAACAGCCCCACAGACTCATTAGATTAATAAGCTACTTTACCTGTGTGCTGAACTTTGAGCTGAGTTTCATCACTAGTTTTTTCTGTAATTAGGAAGTATCCTGAGAGGCTTACAATTATCCAAATGCTTTGCTAGCCACATTTAAAATGTGATTTTTCTGTCTAGAACTTGGTATGTAATTTGAAAATATTCTGTGTTGTTGACATAGGGTGATTATTAAAGCAGTAATCTTTCTCAAAATGTCTGATAATTAGGTAATATTCTAACTCTCAGCTTAGTTATTCCTGTTATTTCTGGAATACCTGAAAACAAGAATTTGGAATGTATACTTTCCTCTTATAAAAAGTGATGCTTCAACCTTATCAGCCTAAGGATATAAAGGCAAGGTGTGTAGGGACCATTAACAGCTTTTATGGTATCACTTCCTAAATTGTTGGTGTAAAAGTATTTCTTAAGGATCTGGACCCAGAAGCTGGAAGCTAAAGCTGTAAGTCGGTGCTGGATCAGGCCCCAGAGATTGTCTCTTCTGGTGTCTGACCCAGGACAAGAGCAAATGCTGAGGGAAGATTTTAAGAAGTAGGTAAATTTCTCTGGATGATAGTTCAGGATATGCGTCTAGTCCCTCACAATATCAAGTTCAAGGGCTTTCCGAAAACCATCTCCCCTCAAAACCCATAATCATTGATGGATTTTTCTTCCATTTTTCTAATTCGTGTTTGGACCCATCTGCAGTCCTGGCACCCACTCTGCTCTGGAGACTGTGACTTCCACAGCTTGTTTACCTTCTGCTTGAAGAAATAATCCCTTTTATTTGTGTTGAACCTGTCATTCACTGGCATCATTTAATGCCTCCTAATACTTATTTTGGAAAAGTCAGGGAACAAGCATTCATTATTTATCTTCTCTGTGCTGCATACGACTTTTTTGACTTCTGTCGTAGTTCTGTTCAATCAGTTCTTTCCCAGGTTGAAGTATCTTGGTTTGTTCAGGCATAAATCGTATGAAGCAATATTTTAAAGTCCTGAATATAATCAGGCATGCTTATGAAAATGCCATGCCCTTGGACAACACTCCAGAACTAATGACAAAATTTTAATACTGTCAAATCCAAACAGGAACTCTCTTCATTATTCTGGTCTCAAATGCAAGACTTAATCTAATTCAGATCCTGCATTTTTTATTCAGGACTGAAGGTGTTGAGAAGATTTATTCCATAATTAGAAGAGATGGTTTGAGAACTTTGCCCATGTTTCTGAAGGGCTGCTGCTGTGATTTGGACACTGAGAGTCTTAAGTCTCTAAAATCTTGTCTGGAGAGGATCATCTGTACTGCAGCAACAATTTGTCCTCACATAATATGATTCAACACAATCTCAGAAGATATTCTTTCTTCCTACACTTACACATAAAACTGTGATATGTAGGAGATGACTCTTTTTATTGATAGTAAGAAGTAGAGCGTAGAAGCTGTTCACCTGCACTTTCAGAGCATTTTACAAAGATGGTTAGTGACTGTGATGAGGATTGTCATCACCAGCTTAGAAACAAAAGAAGCCTGAAACATGGATAAGGACGCAGTGTGCTAGGTCTGTACACCAGAGGTTTGAAAGAACTGGGTCTCTGGATGCGGCGTTGTCTTTAGCAGGTCACCTCGAGCTGGGCAGCATGCACCTGTTTGCGGTTACAATGAGTTGGGTCTGTGCTTTTATGAATCCAGTAGGATTTAAACTCACTTTTGACTCATCCCAGGACAACCCATGGATAATGTTTAACCATTCCTGTGTCCCTGACACTTCTGGGACGTACCGTGGAGCGACCCTGGGGTAATCACAGTGAAGACAGGCAATGAGGAATTATTTCCTTGGCTGACACTGGAAGCAGAAGTTTGATAGGATACATCTGTTCTCAACCTTAGTTTAGCCAGGTTGCAAAAAACCAGTAACCCTACTCCTGTGTCAAGAAAAGCTGATGAATCTTTTAATGGCAGAGTGCTTGGGACTTGTGTGTCGTGTTTTATCTGTCGAGCAGTGCACATAAGCACTGATCAGACTTGAACTTCAATTTATAACATCTGACAAGATGACAACTCTTTATTCTTGTAATGTTTTTTCATCCTGAACCTTTGACCTGCCTCACAACCCTCATTTGGAGTTTCTTTCATATGTCTACCCCAGCCTTTCTGTCAAGTACAGTTTGAGCTTTGAGGGCTGGAGACTATCTCCTGCCTGTGCAGCAGCTACCAGAGGGGGTTCTTGTCCTTGTCCACATGTCCTGACTGCTGGAGTAGTCCCAAGGTGCAATGATGACAACCTGATTTGTCCTGTTCCATGTGAAAATGGGAGTTTCTTTTCATGCATCTTCTTCTGGTGTAAGTTTACAGGACAAGTGTCAGAGTTGGAAGATCTGCACAGTATTATGTTCCAGAATCTGTTTTGTTAAAGGATGATTTGCTTTTAACTTTCCAAGGCTTTCTAGGCATCTGGCCTTAAACTCCTACAGAGACTGAGCATCTTGGAAACCTTTAAGCATAAGAATATTTTTTGACTTTTTTTTTCCCCTGCACTAACAGTAGAGCAAGCTGTGTATGTACATTCAAACAGGGCACCCTCCTGCCTTCAGCTTTGGGAAAGTATGGCAGAACGAACATGTAACAAACATCAACCATGTTGTTTAATGACTAACTTGGAAGCCACTTTAACATAATAGCAATGGATGCATGAAAAACAAACAAACAAGCAAACAGAACAAAAACCAAACCAACTGTGTTCTTTAGAGGAAAGTTCTCAGCAATCCTTTCGGTTCAAGCCCATATTCTACACAAACAGACAATTTCAGATTTCCTTAATGTTCTTTTCTTTTCCTCCTTGCAGACAATGAATTCATTTACAGAAACCAGAATGGCACAGTGATTCTGAGGAATGTTGAAACTAACAGTTCAACAATATTAATAGAAAACAAAAAAATTGTAAGTATTTTCTGTAATGAGTAGCAGAATTTAACACTTCTCTTGCAGTTGGATCAGTAAAGCAGAAAATGACTTAGGTTTCAACTTCTTGTATTGTCAAGGAGAAGCAATACACTGGTAATACTATGGGCTACACAATGACTGATAATGTGAAATTTAACTCCAGCTTTTGTTATTATTCTGCAAGCTTAGTTTCTTTCATACTACAGGAAAGTATCATATAGATATTTGAAGTTAGTCTTGCATGTCGTATATAATTGAAAGATGCATAATTCTCATCTTTGCATGCTTAATAGAAGAGACAATTGATACAACTTACTGTCTGTTGGTAGCATTCTCCACATTCCTCCATGCAAATACTGATTTTTTAATTTGTGGATTTGCTGATTTTTCCTGCCTAATGGTTGAAATGTAATTTCAGTGTTGTTAATGAATAGTGTTGATGAATGGAAATGGGTTGCATATGAGAGAAACCCTAAGAAATTACTGGGAAAATAAGTTAGTAGGTGGCTATTAAAATGAATGAAAAGAAAATAAATTCATAGCTGATACAGAGTATCATTTATAATGATGAAAGTGTTTTGTGGCATTTTTTTTATATTAGATGAAGCCAACATTATGTCAGGATTTAGTACATTAAATGTTAGAGTGTTTTCAGTATTTCCTGTAAGAAGTTAATGTCCAAAGTAAAATATACTTTTCCAAAGTAAAAAAAATTGCTCTGACAATGACATATGAATTGTGTTGTCCTGGTAAAATTGTCACTTATGCAGCACCTACCTAATGTTTTGGTTAACTTAGAATCATAGAAACATAGAATCATTAAGGTTGGAAAAGACCTCAAGGATCATCAAGTCCAACCCAACACCACCTAACTCACTAAACCATGTCCCTAAGCACCACATCTACACGTTTCTTGAACCCCTCCAGGGATGGTGCCTCCACCACTGCCCTGGGCAGCCTGTTCCAATGCCTGATCACTCTTTCAGTGAAGAAATTTTTTCTAATATCTAGCCTAAACCTCCCCTGGCGCAACTTGAGGCCATTTCCTCTTGTCCTATCACTTGTTACTTTAGAGAAGAGGCCAGCACCCACCTCACTACACCCTCCTTTCAGGCAGTTGTAGAGAGTGATAAGGTCTCCTCTCAGCCTCCCGTCCTCTAAACTAAACAACCCCAGTTCCCTCATCTGCTCCTCATCAGACCTGTGCTCCAGACCCTTCACCAGCTTCGTTGCCCTTCTCTGGACCTGCTCCAGCACCTCAATGTCCTTCTTGTGGTGAGGGGCCCAAAACTGAACACAGGATTCAAGGTGCAGCCTCACCAGTGCTGACTACAGGGGCACAATCACTGCCCTAGTCCTGCTGGCCACACTATTGCTGATGCAGGCCAGGATGCTGTTGGCCTTCTTGGCCACCTGGGCACACTGCTGGCTCCTGTTCAGCCGGCTGTCGACCAGCACCCCCAGGTCCCTCTCTGCTGGGCAGCTTTCCAGCCACTCTGCCCCGAGCCTGTAGCGTTGCAGGGGGTTGTTGTGACCAAAGTGCAGGAGCCGGCACTTGGCTTTATTGAACTTCATACAATTGGCCTCAGCCCATAGGTCCAGCCTGTCCAGATCCCTCTGCAAAGCCTCCCTACCCTCAAGCAGGTCAACACACCCACTCAATTTGGTATCATCTGCAGCCTGCAGTGGTTTTGTTGTACTGTATCATTGCAAAACTACAAAAGCAGAGGATGGCTAACAGGCATATCTTCATGACCCAAGATCTCAGAAAACCAGTTTAGAAACTCAAAAAGAAAAGTAAATGTACAAGAAAACTATAAAACCACATTCCAGGTTTACTTTATTTTGCAGTGTGAGTATACAACTCATACAAAGCTAGACTACAGTATTAATTCTTTTTCAATGAGACAAAGAACTCATCACTGAATTATTATTGCAGGACCCAACCTTAAATTTTACATGCTGCCATTTAACCTTCAACCTTTGCTACATCACATAAACAACCCTCTTTTACCAGAGTGTAACCCCTTTCTTTACAATTCTGCTAAGGGGAAAAAATAATGGGCTGGCTTCCTTTAATGTCAAGGTCTGTTGAAGTCAAACTGCTTCCATTTGGCCTCTAATTATGCTCCTGGATTTTAATTTTGCCATTGTAAGAAAAGTACAGTGTTACAAGATAATCCTACTTTTTCATGCCATGGCCTCCCTGCTGCCTGGATCATCAAGTTCCCCTTGCTCCTCTGCTCCTTGCTTGGTAAATAAATCTGCAGAACACTACCTCCACATTAATCCAGAAAATCCCGATAAAAAGCCACTGTTCCACCTCGTCCAGGAACTTTGTACACTACCTCCACATTAATCCAGAAAATCCTGATAAAAGAGCCACTGTTCCACCTCATCCAGGAACTTTGTCCTTTTCCTTCCCAGCCCTGGGTCAGAACAACTTTTGCTACCTTGTCGTGTTTTCTTTTCTCAGTAAATAACATCTTTCTTTATGCTGACACTGCAGGCTCTCCCGCTCCCCTGGCACTTTCCATCCTGATCCATGCTGGCCCATCAACCCATTAGGTTGCCCAGGGAAGTGGTACATGCCCCAACCCTGGAAACATTCTGGGTTGGGTTGGACAGGGCTCTGAGTAACCTGGTCTCGTTGAAGATGTCTGGGCTCATTGCCAGGGGGTTGGACTAAAGGTCCCCTCCAGCAGGAACCAGTCTATGGCTCTGTGATCAGTCCCTTCTGCCTTTGGCTGTCCCCTGGGTTCCCCACGCACCCCCTCCAGCCTCGCTTGCCCTGGGATGCTGAGCTTTTCCCTGGAGCCCAAATTCCATCTTCCAGTTTTGTTCTTGGGAACCTCTCAAGGACTTGCATCTAATCTGTTAGGTGAGAGGATGACACTTCCAAGGCAGCGGATGAGCGGTGTGTTAGTGGCACCTCTCTTTGACCTTGGTGCACCAGCAATGTGTTATATGGAAATGCACTGGAAAAGAGAACAGATGCCTGCACTAGTGGAGCGGGAAAAAGGTAATTTCTGACAAGTCTGAGATATTTTGCCATCTCTTCTTGTTAGTAAGAGTTGTAGCACAGCTTTTTGCAGAACCCAGGTCAGGGTGCACCTGAAAAGCTGTATCACCACAGCATCCCAAAGGCTTATTTTATTGTAAAAAATGGGATAGTATTGCCTTAATTGGGACAGGTACTGGTGTCTCTTTAGAATGGTTTGCTCCAGCAGATGTTTACTGTTTGTTATCTCCAGCATTTTGGCCGGTGACTGCAGGGAATGAGAGGGAATTGATAAATTGTCATTTGTCAGGGTTTTCTACCACCTGCTGTCCACAAGTGCCCCGCCAGCCACTGTGCAGTAGGTTTGTAAGGAAAATTCTGATTTTTTGAGATAGCTGCCTGCTCTGAGTCACAATGTAGTTATGCTTTCCTTGTGGGAGCACATAAGTGACCACATAACATTTCTTTGTTTTGAAAAGGGAGGTAACATTGTTTTTCAAAACACTTAGTCTGGCAGTATTCTTTATCATTAAAAAGTTGATCATAGCAATTAGTTCTAAATGTTATTAGATTGAAATCTGAAAAATATTAATTTCAGTGTTTGATTTATTTTCTAGGTCTCCTTAAAAGCTATTCGATACGAAGTGTCACCTGACCGGGAATACGCACTTTTTGCTTTTAATGTTGAACCAGTAAGTAAATGGATTTTATTTCAAAATACACAGCCAGTAGCGAGCTTTTTACCCCCACTTCTATGCCAGTAAGATGATATTTTAAATTAATTGTTTCCTATGAAACAAAGAAAGAAAACCCCTCACTTAGGTGTTCTGAGAGCATGTCATACTGCCATCTAGTAGGGGAGAAAGGTATAAATTACACCATAGAGGAAACACTGTCTGCCAGGAGTTTATAGTTTTTGGGAGGGGGACTGAAAGGACTTGTCTTTGCTATAAGGATTTCTATTCCTCTTCTGTGGTTTTTTTTTTTTCCCATGTCACACTATAAATTTCTTCCCCAGAACAAAAAGCGACTGTCAGTGTCTCCCACAACTGAAATAATACATTAATTATGGTGTCACTGTTCCCAGTGCTGCAGTTAGGGTTGAGCTATCACTTTCATTACAAATCCTTTTCTCAGAGGGTTAGGTATAAATCATTCATAAGAAATCACCGTTGGGTTACTACTAAGTTTTAGATTAGGGTGAATTTTCTACCAAACATCAAAAGAGAAAAGTGTAATGAGTCATTTTTAAATGATGACTAAGGAATCAGAGACATGGGAAGCAGTTCTTGGTCATGAATAATATTTATTTTCTTTTTAAATTCTGCTGGTATAAGACCTGAAATGTTTGAATGATAGCTATGCTGTACTGCTTGGATAAACTATAAGCCCCATACATTTTGTTTCCATAATCTAGAATTGCACCAATTCCTCAAAATGACAATAATTCATTCAACAGCAACTGTAATTCCTCTTCCATAAAATAAATCTAGTTTCATCTGCTAACCAAAGGAAATTTGTTTGTCCTTTAGGTAGCAGAGATTGTGGCTCTGTTATTCATCTGGTTTCTCTGCTGTCATCTTTGGAGTTATCCCTGACTCACAGTGGTATAAAAGTCAGGAGGACTATGGCTGGTGTTAGAAAAAGTTCAAATAAAACTGTATCAGAAACTTTAGGGGTAATTCATAAAGGTTTTTACTGGGAAATAATTGTTGGTGCAACTTCACTTGCCCAAAGCTTGGCAGAGTTCTAGACTGAAATGGATGTGCAAGTGTTAAGTTAGATCTAAGTGTGAGGAAGACAGCCTAATGGCCACTGCCCAAGCGAAGCCTTCTCCTGAAAGCCCCCCTGCCATGTGTGCGAGAGGTGTTTTGTAAAATTCAGTTCTTTTAGCAGAGATTGGCCTTTGGCTTCTCTGTTCCTCTGAGAAGGAGAGAAAAATTTCTGTCATGAGAAAAATTATAATGAGAGAAAAAATTTCATTTCTAAAAAGCTTTTTAGTATCAACCTTTATCCACCAAAAGAGCTTCACACTGGGAAGATCCGCAAGAAGCAAAGTTACAGCTTTGCATTCAGCCTGCAGAGGAATGCTTGATGCAGGCAAATGGAGGAAGAGGATGGGGATGGAAAGGGGTGGGCTGGATGTGTTTCCTCTGCATCCTCCCCTCTGCATTTCTGTGCTTGCAGATCTGTGGTTTTGAGGTGCAGGCAGAACATTGGGGTTTTGGTGCTTTAGATGCCTGGTTGGAGAAGAGAGAGCAGCACACAGCAAGTGCTCCCTTCCTCACACCATGTCTTCTTCCAGAAAGGAAGATCCGAGGTGGCAAGCTGTGAATACAACCTTTGGGAAGATTTCAGGATGTGACTAGATGTGTACTTGGTGTAAGAGAGCATTGCAAATTGTTCAAATATTCATATATGAGAATATGATAGCAAGAGTTCGTGAAATGGTTTTCTGAAACAAAAGTAGAGCCCCTCCTTTTTTTATTTAAGATCCATGATACAACAATATATTTTTAAGAAGCAGCATACTAACAAAGGGATAATAAGATTTGCTCTTGAATATTGCATCCTTAAGCCAAGATGGGTGGCTCTTTGTTTATTAAAGTTGCAGTAACTGTTAAATTACTTACTCAGCTTTCTTCTCAATTCGTGTGCAGACTGTGGCTACAGATAATTGCAGGTTAGTTAGCTTTTCACGTTTTCTGCATTTCAAGCTGTATTCTTGGACAAAATTCAACTTACGCTGTTTTCTGCAACACAAGAAATTGATTAGCAAAGCTTTGGGCAGTTGTCCTTGTTGCAAAGTCAAAAGGAAATTTCAGGAAATGTGTTGGCAAAGGACATTTGTTTGAAGTTTAATTCTACAAATACTTACATAAGAGAAACTTCTTGAAACTGCTGTACACTTATTTTATAGGTGTGACAAAGTGTTGCTTCATTTTTTGCCATTTAAAAGTGTTACGTGCTGCCTTTTGTTTGCAAGTATAGATGTTTTCATTTCTTTTTACACAATACAGTTGTGCTGTACTTATGTGTATAATATCTTAATATACATCATATGAATTATTCCTTTATCCAAATTCTAATATGAATGGATTCAGCCTCTTTTTTTAATACCAGCTAGGAATAAACATCAGAATAGAAGAGCATAGTGCGTCACTCCGATGAAGTGAAAGATTTTTAAGAAAAATGCTACAAAGTAATTTCCTGCTGGTAATAGCTTCCTTCTAAGGTTTTTCTATTTATTTGCACAGAAGCATCTCTGCTCAGTGTTGGGTCTGGCTAAGAGCACTGACACCCACATTGGAATAACACAGCCCCGAACTGGCAGACACGTATTTTGCGAAGATATTGAGGCAGCTAATGTGTGTTTTCCTGTTGTATCACTTCATCATCTTAGAGGATGATGAATTAAAGCATGTTCCTTAAGCTATATTTATCCCAGAAAGCTTGGCAGGCAGTGGTGAGACTGGCGTGGGTACATTGTGGCTAGCCAGGCTGTCAGGTTTCATTCTAAATGCTTTTTTGCAGTGCTTATATTTACAGAAGTTTCATCTTTCAGGCAGCAATATTTGAGGTAAGCCTTGTGCTAATAGGGAGGTTTTCTAACCTTGAACGCAGAAGATTTGTTCTTTTTCTGGAAAGGTCATAGGGAAGGCGCCAGGCTTCTTTGTCTTTGAAATAATCTTACCATTTTTCTGTTTGGGTTTTTTTCCTTTACTCTAGAGCAAGGTCCAACCTGAGGCTGAAAGCACAGGGTGAAGTTTTGGGAAAGTGTTTGGGAATAAATACACCCACAGAGAAATTTTTATTTCAAACCATCCTTCCCCAAAACAAGTGTGCAGGGCTCTGGCTCTAGAGTTGGGTAACCCCAAAATGCATAGGCAAATCAGAGTTAAGCCAC